CCAAAAGGTGTGGGAAGTTGACAAACACTTAGTCCCAAAAAAGTCCCAAGGGGATCAGAAGGTCTAGGACTGTACAAGCAGCTCAAATCCTTCTGGACAGAAGCTAGCTGCATTAAACCACTTGGCTACACCTGGGCTACATGTCCCACATTGTCCTACAGTACTTGTGTTAACTTTATTTTCCCATTATACTACTTCTGTAGCATGATGTCTGGACATTTTTTAAAGTTAATTAACTAAAAGAAAATACAGTTGAATGCAATACATTAGTTTCAATAGGTTGGTTGATCTACAAAAACTGTCATGAGGAAAGAAGTGAGTCTAAACTGATAGGTAACAATTCAAATCATAAAAATTGAGGCATCAAGACCTAAAATAAATTGCCTGTTCACAACCTAATGCCAAAAATAACTACACTAAGTTTAAATATCTGGCAGAACGAAAGCAGTGGAAACTAAAGAGCTAACAGTGGAAACTAGTAAGACAGCAAGAACAATTCCTTTTTTAAAAGCACTGTATCCTGAAAGACTGTTGGACATCTATGTACCTTGCTACACCTAACACAGAAAAAGCTTGTGGATCTAGTGGCCAAGCATTGACAGATGAGTAATTGAGTAAACTCTGGAAAAACCCTGGAAAACTCTTCTTATGAAAGTAGTGACACAGGGATTTGAAGCCTATGGAATCATTAGACAGTAGTGGCTTTGGGCAATTTCAAAGCCAGTACTGGACTAGAAATTATCTTCTTTGGAGGTAGTTAGTAATACCAGATTAAAAAAGCTTCAGTTAAAAACTGAATTATTATGCTACCATGGCAGATAAGTATTAGAAAGGAAAGACCAGCATGGATTCAAAGTAAATAGGTATAAATATAGAAAAATATGCTAGGTGTTAGGTAACAACAAAAGGAAAAAGCTAGAGACAACCAAAAAAAACCACTCCAATGCTCTTATACTGCTGTATAAATAGCTGTCAAATCAACCCACAGTTAGCTTAAGAAGTCCTCTGTTTCAAACACAGAATAACCCAATCAGAAACATAATTGAAGATTGGGTAAAATAATTAAATGCAAGGATCTAGTGGAGACTCCTCTGTTGACTGACAGCACACTTGAACACACTCAAAACAGCATACCCATAATCTCCCTGAAGGAGGATTTAAACATTCAACAGGTAATAAGCTATGGACTGACAGGGGTTGGTGGGGAATAATAATACAAAAATAAGCATGGGATTGGTTGTCTCAGATTTATCTTTAGGGTTTTCATCTTCTTAGGAAGAGAGACAATATGAAATTTCCTTTAACTCTTCAAGGAATGTAGAGCCATCTTCAAGACAAAATGCTCCATGACTGTTTTCATCTCCTTAGATATGAAGATCCTGAGGTCACAGTACTGTAATTAACTGGATTAAGGCCAACAAATCTGTGAAGCTCCAGAATAGCTGGAAGCTGTTGATAAAAAAGAAAATAAAACCTCAGTGCATTAGCTGTAAATTATGAAACTGCACTCAGTCATCATATTACAAAGAAGTAACAGCAGCATCAACAACATCAGGAGTTGGCACAGCTCAGTCAAACATAAAAAGCAATCTGTTGACTAAGGGCACCATTTTAAACACATACATTCTAGAACTCTTACAAGTTTCAAATAAGAGGTCCTTGAACTTGGAAAGGTTTGTGAACTGAAAAAACAAGACTTGAGAACCTTTAGAAATTCCAGACAAAGTGGAATTAGTCACATACCTAACAAATGGAGTGAAACACACCTAGAATTCAGAAAACCTCTCTGGGAGAGTCTTCCAGAATATCACAGAGCTCCTGTTCCCAGGTTCTTCTACAAGGTAAATCAAGCTCATTATCTGTAAACATTTCCTCAGCCTCTCTAGACCCTTCACCAGCTCGGTTGCCCTTCTCTGAACATGCTCCAACAACTCAAGTCTTTCTTGTAGTGAGGGGCCCATAACTGCACACAGTTCTCAAGGGCACACTGCTGGCTCATGCTCAGCTGGCTGTACACCAGCACCTTTAAGTCCTTTTCTGCCACTCTTCACTCCAGCCACTCTGCCCCAAGCCTGTAGCATTGCCTGTGGTTGTTGTGACCAAATGCAGGACTCAGCACCTGGCCTTGTTGAACCTCATACAACTGCCCCCAAAACTGAGCCCTAGGGAACACCACTGGTGACCATCTACCGACTGGATTTAACTCTATTTACTACAACTCTCTGGGCCTGGCCACCCAGCCAGTGTTTCACCCAGTGAAGACTGCATCTGTCTATGCCAAATGCTGCCAGCTTCTCTAGAATGCAGTGGGAGATGGTGTCAAAGGCTTTACTAAAGTCTAGACAGACAATGTCCACAGTCTTTCCCTCATCCACTAGGCAAGTCAACTGGTTATAGAAGGAAATCTATTAGTTCAGCGGTAAAACAATAAATGAAGCAACATGCATGCCACCTGCATTGCAAAGATAAAAATATTTCATCTGCTTGGAGAGAGTTACTAAAGTACCTACAGTTCCATACCAGAAGGTGGTAAGAGAGAAGACCTCAAGGCAACTTTTGAAGGCTTGAAGTTACGAGACACATTGTGTATGCTGATGACCTTTACCTGAACTGGAGCAGTAACAGGTCTATCCACCAGAGAAACCTCCCAAAAAGCCAAAATTAAACCAAATAAAAAAACAGCCAACGAAAAAAATAATAATCACATATTGATACAAATAAAGAATGAAGAAGAACTGGGACTCAGGATATACATTTTGGTCCTGATTTAATTAACACACTCTTAATTTGAGGCATTCTAGTAGTCCTACTGTAAAACTTGGTAGGAATTTTCATGTTTGTATTGCTGGTATAAGATTTTCTTTTTTTTTTCTTTTTTTCTTTTTTTCTTTTTTTTTTTAAACTAATAATGCAAAGAAAGCCTACGTAGTTGAGCTTAGAAAGGTCCTCTAGAGATCATTCACTCCCCTACTGTTGTCTGAAGCAGGCTCAGCTACAAGAGGTTGCCTAGGACTGTGCCCAGTTGGAGTTTGAACGTATCCAAGGAGGGAGACTAAAACCTCTGAGCAACTTTTTCCAGTGTTTGAACACCCTTACAGTAGGAAGTTTTCTCTTACATTTAAATGAAACAATCACCAGGGACAGTATCTTATAAACCAGAGGTACAAAACGAGTTTTCATATTCATTTTACAATATCTGATACAAGCTTGAGCTAAACCAGGTCAAAGGAATATACCTGTGCTTCGGTATTTAGTACACAACTTTTGAGTTTTACCTTGCACACTGACAAAAACCTTTTAATGAAAAGCAAGAAATAAAAAGTTAATGGTTTATGTCAGATTATAAAGCTAAAAAATGAAAAATAATAAGCTGCATTCAGTTTTAGTTTAATATACAATGTGACTATAATTACAGATGGACTTTGATTCACAGCTTAAAATGAAAAATATAATCATGTCAACAATGTTATTTCTGTATCCAATATGGAACAATTAACTGGTGAGAATTCTAAAGCTCTTTGCAAACTTAAACAGGTATGACAGGATGCTTTACAAACTA